TTTGATGTACAATTAACCGTGATCTTATTTGGATCCAAGAGGAAAAATTCTACCTGGGTGATTTTGACACTGAAACTGGCATCTTGTGGTACCTGAATTGATTTCTTTTTGGGTAGGGGGAGCAATGACAGAATTGTACAGTTTTTTCCCCTTGATATCGAGGAACCTGTGCTCTTTCAAGTTGATGACTTCACATCAATTTGGTTGGTGCCTCAAAGCAAAGAGTCATGTAACTGGAGTGCGTCCAGAGTGAATTAATCTGAAATTAATTTGATTCTGAAAGACTCCATCTGGCTGTGTTTGGGAAAGGCAGTTAGACAGATATATAAACACATGATCATCTGTATTCATTGTGCCAGATGTAGTGTCAAAAAATGAAGAAATGGCTTTAAAAAAATCAACTACGGGGAATTTTGATATAATAATATTCAGCTTCTTAGTGTGACAGCCATTCTAATTTAGCACATAATTCTACTTTTACTCCTGTTTGTTTCGGGGGTTATGTCTGATGGCGTGTGTTTTAAGAAATAAGCAAATTAAATGTCAAAGCCTATTTTAATTGGTGATTTAAGATGCTAAATGGAATTTATGACTTACTGAGAGAGACAGAAGAAAAGAGAGAGGACCTATAGCTTTCCAAATCAAAATGTAGTATTTGATACTGATTTCATCTTAAGATACAATTTAGGCATTTAAAAACTAGTGAAGTAGAATTGCATCTGGACTTTGCCTTTGAGATGTGGTTTTGTAGCATGACAGACCATCATATTTGCATGGAAGGGGAACATGCAGGATGAGGTGGCCTGCAGAGAATGCTAGAAGTCGCCTTGCAAATTTCTTTAGACTGTAAGAGGCGCATGTTTTGAACCGCTGTCTAGGAATTCAGCGCAGTCACTGTAGTGCATCTGATGGCCTTTTGTTATGTCCGGACAGGAAAATTGTAGAAAATGTGTGCTTGCCCCTTTAGTGCTATCACAGTTATCTCTTTGGAGCCTTTTATTTCCAATTTTTAAACCTCACCAATCATCTTTTGTGATGTGCTGAAGAGAAAGAATTAAAGTTTATTTCTGGATTTGTGATACATTATTGACTGAAAAACAAACTCCCCAAAGGGAACAGCTCATTCCTCCCTTGTACTCTACCCATCACCCTTAATTCTCCTAGACAAAACAACAAAAACAATCACAGGTAGGGAAAAACCGAGCAGAATACTTAGTCAACATTAACCCAAACAAAGCCGAATGGTTTAGGCAGTCAGTTGCTGCATTTAGTGACAGCAAATTAGATGGTACACAGATCTCAACATTTGATACGCTGCTGTGTGAAAATGAGAGTAACATCTCCACTCATCCCTGAGGAATGACTCAGTCTGATTAGCTAAGTTTGCAGTACAGTTGAAAGCTTCTCCTTTAAGGCACCAATTCTCTTTGTTGTCTCTTTTTGAAGGAATGCTTCTTAAAATAAATTATATATTTCCCAGCCTCCTTAAGCAGAATTTGTTGAGCTTAATGTGGCCTCTTAGATGAGACAAGCTTGTCATTATACAAATTAATAATTCTGCTGGGCCACTGTCCTTGGGAATGGCTAGGGAACACATCTCAGTCCCTGCTATGGGTGGGCTTTCACCACGAGGCTATTTCAGATGCTGGTGTCCGTCGCCACCAGGACATGGGCCTGCTTGTTGCAGAGCCTCCCTTTGCTTTGCCACTTGTCTTCCCCTGTGGGTTTGAAATGCAGCTGACGAGGCTGTGTAAAAACCAGCATGAGAAATCTTTGAGGAGTGGGTTCAAGAGTTCACCAAAGAGCTCAAAGGGCATGAACATCCAGATGGGAACTTTGTGATGAATACGTTTCTGGCTGCTCTAAGATCATTTTTTTCTTTATGCTAGCCATTTACAAATATTGGAGTTTGAAGGCTTTTGGGAAAATGACAATATATTTGAATGTAATAAATACATACCTCTCTTCACAAGTGGATTCTATTTTCTCTCTAAACTGCTGTTATTAATATGACGTAATTAGTTCCCATGGACTGTCAACTTTTGATTTTCCAGATCAGTGGAAGGAGACAGTAGTGTCCATAATGTCCAGTGCATTCACATCAGACCTCATGCTGCTGACTGCCTTCCTTAGCCTGGCATTTCATTTCAGTTGTATTCCTTGATTACACATCATTTACAACCGAGAAAGGTAGGCCAAAAGCAGTCTGGGAGAGACCAGCCTGAGATTAAATTCTGCCATTGATAGATGATAAAATGAATAATAAATGGACAGATAATCAAGATTTGACAGAAAAGTAGGCAGAGTTCTGAATGCCAGGCAAGCACAAAGGTCAGCGACGCGGCGCCTTTGTCCTTTAGTCCAAAGTAGGAAAGCCCACCAAGTGGTTTTACATTAATGTGGTGAGAACGAGAGGATGACCAGAATCAGAATGGTGGCTGTGCAGGGACAAGTGAATCCAGTGGGCATTTAGAGAAAAATAGGCATGACTCAGTCACAGACTGGTAATAGGTGTATTGCCTCTCGAATTTAATAGGACAGCACTGGACGTGATAACATGGTTCTGCAGAATAGTGGTGACGGATCACATGACATGTGATTTAATTTTACAACTTTGAAGACTTGTCACTCCCTGTATTAAATCCATTCATTTAGTAAATGTGTGTTGAGGATGTGCTGGGACTAACCTCACCTTCCAGATGAGCTCTTCCCTGACCACCTTATGTAATACTGCAGCCCCCTTATTTAATACCCAGCAACCTCCTCCCTTGCATGCTTCATTTTTCTCTGTCGAAATGGTCTTTTTAATCTATGATAAAATTTACTTATTTGCCTATTTCATGCCCACTCTAGGGTATAACTCCATAAAGGCTGTTTTACCCCACTTTAGTAATTACGGTATCCACAGCACCTTGAATTTGTCAGAGTCTCTTCATAAATATTGATTAAATGATTGATTGAAGAAGACATCCCTGTCTCCAGGATTTCACACTTCCACTGTGCTCTTGATGGGGATTCAGTGAATCAAGGTTTCTGAGGTTCTGTGATCAGAGAAGAGAAAGGCCAGAGCAAGCAGTCAGTCTGCATTACATGCATGTTCTGTGTGCTGCAGCACTGTTCCTGGTCATAGATCGTTGGTTCGGGAGGGAGTTTCAGCCAGTAAGAAAGGCAGGAAAGTTGAGCCTAAAACCTCATTGGAGGAAAGGAAGACAGGAAGAGATGAACTTCAGGTGTGCTGATTTGAGGTGGTGCCAGAACGTGCTGTGGGATTAGAGTTTAATGGTCAAGATGAGGGCAGTATTACTTTCAAATACTTGAGAATGGGTGAGCTCTCCATAGGATTAGCACAGCTTGTGAGAGTGAAGGGTGGAAATGGAAGGGCCTTTGTGGGGCAGGCTCCTGGGGGTGGCATTTCAAGTGCAGGTAGGGGAATGAAGCTGTGTCCTTGGTGCAAGGTTGGCGGTGCACGTGACTGCGATTGAAACCGGGGTCTGTGCTGGTGCTTCTGTGTCTGTTACACATGCATGGTTGCAAAGGACCTGTGCTCTGGGGCTGCGTTTCCTGCCTTCCCAACTCCCTTCCTTGTTAGGGCCACCTTTTTCTCCCCAGCTTTTTGTTTCATTTCAGTCCCATTGCCAACTAAGTGAAATGGTATAAGCCTGTCATCTTTTGGCTTCGATATCTGCCCCCACCTCCCACCCCAGATGTTATTTAAACATTGGCCACAGGGATGCGGCATGATTTAGAATGCCCCATGCCCAATCCCGTGGCTTAATGAGTCACTTGTTTCTGCCTTACTCCAGGCCTTTATTTATTGCTCTATTACAGGCCTTAGCACGCTGGATTTTGGTTTCATGTTGTGTCCATGTCTGTCTCTTCTAATTGGCCATGAGCAGCAGCAGGACATAGCCTGTTCTTCACCTCCCTCACCTTCAAACCTAGCACTGTGCCTGACATAAAGCAAATGTTCAGTAACTGAGAATGACAAGGAAATAAAAGGACTCAGAGTAAACCTCAATTGTGTTTGAGATTCTGCAAAGGGGAATAATTCGCTTTCACCATCCATATTTCTAAAGTGTGTGAAAAGGGTTGTGAATCTGCTCTGACCGTATTCTCTTGCATAAATAAGTCCAGGCAAAGTATCTTCACCAGTAGTGAAAGCAGAAGTTACCTGCCTTGAGAAGCACAGTCGCCACAACCTTGTGTACAGGGAATCAGATGTCGTGTGTCAGTGGCTTGCTCCTCCTGGTGTGGGTCCTGTACTTTCATCATTTATTGCTGGACTGTGGATGCAGCAGGGACACTTGTGTTAAAAATCATTCTTCATCTTGGGAAGTGCAGGCTCCTGTTGAGTGTCCCCCTACATTTGTCTTCATCTTATCATTTTATAAGGATTCTTTTTATAGTTAATGGATGGCCAAACCAGTCTCTTGTCAATCATCCAGAGAGCCATTTTCAATTAGTTGTCCATAGCAAACAGGTGACTTCAGCAGCATCCAGCCTTTGTCAGGTAAGTTCAGGATGGAAGGATACCCTAGATCTGTAGAAGCAGGGGCTCCTGGAGGAATTTCCTATCTGTAAAGTGAGGGGCAGTCACAGTGATCTCAACCGCAGGGGAGAGGATTCATTGGTGTGTACCCCTAAAGCACTTTGGGAATGTGAAGCCCTCAATACATCTTCCTTGTGATGATTATTTCCCTGTTGCTGTTTCTAAAAGTTCATCTAAAACACCTACCTCTCCCTGTGTGAATGCCTCCTGCTTGGCCCTGAAGTCCACTGAACTATTTCTGATAAATCACGGAAGGAAATGAGTTGCCTGGGTGAGGGCTGTCTTTCACCACTGCCTTGCTCCCTTCCCAGGGAGAGTTACTGTCTGTTCAGCCCTCAGGCACCCCCTAGATGTCTCCAAATTTACTTCTTTGTGGGGGTTTTCCAGCTTTGCGCCTTTTACTAGCAGTCAAGGTGAGATAAGGTAATAAGGTTTCCCTTTTACTTGGTGAGTCCAAGTGCCTATGTTCTGTGACTTTTTCTGCAGGAATAGTTCTCTATGAGTCTTGGATGCATTTTACCCTGGCAAGCATTGGAGACCTCCGACCGAACACAGTTCAGCAGTACCTTTGGTAATTCAGCAGAATGCCTGTCCCCAAGAACACAGATGTGTTCTCAGTTGTCTGGGAATAACAATGATGTCCTGTACCATCTTAAGAAACTATTTTTTTTTTTAGCTTTGCCAAAGTCCAGGATTGAGCTTATGGTAATGTATGTATGTATACATATAGGAAATCTGAACCTTTTCTTCAGAGAAGCTCAAGCTATTTAATGACAATTTGACCATTTGGAGAAGGGCTTTGACTTTGTCCTGTTTAGGGTATTTGCTCTGGTTAATTTTCTGTGTGGATTCACTAGCTGATGTGTGGCCATCTCAGAGATTTGGGGTCTCATTCCATAATTTATGTGGTTGTGACTCAAAAGGTTTCGCCACACATGATAAATGGTAACAATATCTTCCACCTAAATAGGGGATAGCGGAGTGTCATTATTTTCACACCATTTTGGTGGTGTAACTGATAACCAAAACATTTTGTTCAATTTATCCAAAGTTTTCAGCAACCCAGGATGCCACTGCAGTTAAGACAGCTGTGTCAGAATGGTGGCAAACTCTGCCTGGCTGAAAGGCAGTCACGGAAGACAGAGGCTTTCTTCTTGATAACCGTGCAGCAATGTATTTGCAAAGGAACTTGCAGTTCCGAGAGCTCCAGGTTGGATGGCCACTGACTCCTCTTCCTAAATGGAAAGGCTGCGGCACTAAGTTTAGCAGACAGGGAGCCTCCCAAGGGTGGGGCCTGAGTTTCTAATGTGTTCTTCATTGTGCAGGGTGGGAAGGAACTGATGGTTGGACCTCAGCTGCCCCACTGCCAGTCTGTCGGGAAGGGATTTCTCTTCTTAAGCAACACCAAAATGGACATAATGAATTTCATGTTCATCCTGTTGCCCGCCGGAGGCACCAGGCCCATCGCCAGGTTTTTTCTGCTTTTGCCTTAAGCAGCTGAGTCTTGGACAGTTTCCTGTAATCGCCAAACAAAGCCTGTTTCTTCATGTGCTATTACTTAAGTACAAGTGATATCAAAAAACGATTCCTGAGCCCTTTGAACGAGTGGCTTATTAGCTACAGAGATGATGGGAGTATGGTTAGGACATTAGGAAGAACACTGGCATACATGGAAAGAGATGGGGCTGCAGCAGCACCCCCATTCACCAGCCACTCAGCAGCCTGTCTGAGCCTCCAGGCTGCTCTCCACAGTGCCGATGACACCTTGTCAGCTCTCTGGCCTGCAGCCTGTGTCCCCTGTGAGCTGGGGGGACTGAATGGGACACAGGCAACGAATCACAACAAAATTTCAGGAAGCTCATTATATTATCTCAATTATCTTTTCCATGAACCTCTGAGTCCAGACCATAGCCACAGGATTATAAAAATTAAGAGCCAGATGGGACCTATCATCTTGCTTTGTTTTATGAGTGAGGAAACCGAGGCACAGAGCGGTTACATGATTAGCTTCAGATCCCACAGTGAAGTTGTTGCTGAGCCAGGATGAGCACTAAGGCCTGCTGGCCCACTGTTCCGCTGACCTGCCGTTGAGAGTCTCAAGCACTGATGGGGCTTTCTGGGCCCCATATTCTTGTGTTTCCAAAGCAAACTTCCCATGCAATGATATATTTAGATCAATCTCAACTCCAATCAGTACAAAACAAGTGAAGGACAAGTGTATTTGCATCTATAGCTATTTAGGTAAACTGAAGTTAAATAAAATTTAAAATCCAGTTCCTTAGTTGCATTAACCAAATTTCAACTAATTCCTAGCTACATGTAGCTAGTGGCTACCACATTGGACTGTGCAGATACAGAACGTTTCCATGATGGCACGGGGTTGGATCGCACTGATATGGATTATCCCAAGGATCCAAAAAAAAAAAAAAGTACTGGAGTAATATGATTATTAATAACTACTAAGCAGATTTTCTATCGTTATACGCAATTTTTCTAAGGCAATCATTCTGTATACTTTTTAATTTAGTGTGCATTCTGAAGATGACATTTTATGTCTTTTAGCATTAATATAATTTATAGCCATTTGGCAATTCTTAAAGCCATTTTGTAAGTTTGTTCTTCTTTTTATATAAATAAAGGAAATGCAACACAGAAAGTTACCCACAGAACAAGATAAAAAAGAATAGACATTTTAATTATTTTGTTTTCATTCTCCCAAAGGAAGCCTGCAAATCACTGGGCCTTACAAAAGTTTGTTGTCCTAAAACTAGTAAAAATAATAATATGTTGAATCAATTATTATAGTTTTTATAATAGTTTACTGCCTAGATGAAACTCAGAAGATTTTGCATATACTCTGTTGATCTAGTTCTTTTTCTTTTAAAATAGGGAAGTAGGTCAGTGCCTGGGCTAAAACTAAAAAGCACTCATTGTTTTTCCAAACGTCATTTCATTTTCATCTTGACTGTGACATGGGTGATACCATTGCCTACTGGCATAGTGCTCGCAGACTTGTGGTCCTACTCCATATGGCATGTGTCTTAGAAGAGCCTTCTAGCTGGCTCCTTGCCAAGGGTTCTAGCAGAATTGGCACCAGGGATCTCATTGCAGTTTGCAGGCAGGGTGCCAGCAGAGATGTGTGCCTCTGTGACCAGGGCCTGCGAGTGGTCACCAGTTGGGAAACGTCAACCTAGAGAAACGTAGCTCATGGAACATGAGGCCGAGATGGCTGACCTTCACCTCCCATTGTATCCACATTCCCTAAGCACCTTTTGTGTGACTTTGGAAAAGTCAGTATATCTCTGCGACTCTCACTGGGTTCCTTTCCAAAACAGATAATGATGCCAATGGGAGCTGTTGAGAGTATTGTATATCGAGTACTTGGCAAAGGTTTCTGGCATAGAGTAGCCCCTCAATAAATATTACTTGAATTTGGATGTAAATTCTTGGACTGTGAGAGGCAGTGTACTCGATGTTCAGAATGTCTAGGGAGTGAAGAGGAGCAAGCTAGTCTAGTTTTCTAAGCCCACGATGAGATCCTTGCAAATAGGACACCTTATCAACGGTCTTGCTGAGATCTGGAGTATCTGTTCCTGTAATTACCTGTCTTTGAAGAGCACATTGGCTCTCCTTGGTTTCGGACAGGTAACTCAAAATGTTCAACTGTTGAACACATAGCATCTGGCTTGCTTAGCAGTGTCAGTGCTACAACCCCATGAGGACAACAGAATTCAGTGAGTCTCCTCTATAAATGAGCATGAGCCAGGGAGAGAGTTGGGAATCCAGAGCAGGATTCGGTTGGGCGGATGAGAAGGGAGTAAACCAAACTGCTGCAGCACTGTCGAGATTCAGGTCATGTGATGTGGTAACGCCAGGAGGGTGATTGGTGGAACAGGACCACCTATTTTGCTTTTGATCAGGAAGGTGTTGGGGGTGGTATTTTAACTTAAACAAGTGGACATAATTGGATTTTCTTAAGGAAGGGATTGTCCTGCCCTTAGAACTTAATGCAAATCTTTGGAAAAGTTGCTTCCAAAAGGGCAGGTAGCATGGCAAGGATGTAGATGCAGATGAGAGGTGCTCATGGGTGACTATGTAGGAACAGAGAAGAAGGGAATCTGTGGAGATGGAGACACATTATGTGACTGAGTAAATGTGGGTTTCAAAGTACCCTAAAGGGGGGATTCAAAAAAATGTAAAGTACATATCACAGTATTTGCTATGTAAGTAATCACTAAAATACACATTATTATTTAGGATAGGAATTGTGTTGTAGTCTTTACTGTAAAAATTTTGAATTGAAAAGTAGATTTTTGATGGTCACTCATTTCACATCCTTCACAGATGCAAAGAAAGAATTAACAGTAGGAATAGCCGACACTGAAAGAGCCCTTACTTTGTGCCATGTCCTGTATTAAGCACATGAGTCTAAGAGAATGGAGTTCACTATCCCCATTTTACAGATGAAGAGTCTGAGCCCAGAGTAGCACAGTTAGGAAGTGGTGGTGCCAGAACTCAGAGCCACTGTGCTACAGTGCCTCAAGATGAGAAGTCTTTATGCATGGGGGTGAAGCATGGCTCATGGGGTTGAATTATACATGGATACCTTGCCACATACAGGCCAGAGGTGTGAGGCATAGGACAGCTCCTCAGCTTTCCTTACTTGATGCATCTTGGTGAGTTTGTATTTTCTGAGAAAGAATAAGTGGCCTCTCACTTGCAGAAGCATGGAAGATAGCTTGCTCTAGAATTCTGAGTTCAGACCCTAGAACTAAGTACACTGCCATTCCATTCTCTATTGTGTTACATTATGTGCTCCGCAGATGAGGGCAATAGCCCCATTTTTTTAACTTGTGTTTTTTGTTAGCTGAGACCTGTGGCAAAGCTTCCTCTTTACATTCTAGCTGGGTGTAAACAGCAGTAACCACAAGTCTTTCCTGTCCCAGAAATAAGTCTTGCCACACGCTCAACCCCTGACAGGGTGTGAACAAGACCTGCTATGCTGCCAGGGACTCCACCACCTCGGCCCCGCTCAGCCCCAAATTCACAGAGTTAAAGTGTTTATGGAATTCTCAAAGAGCGATTTGAAAAGGATAGGTGCATAAGAACAAGATAAACAATCTAGCTCTAATATAAACAAGCATTACATTACAGCGAAATTGTTGAGAGAAGATTTTGTACTCAATATTTTATTCAGCAGAACATTTTTTATAACAATAAGGTTGATTAGCGCAAGCTCTGAAAGTGCTTCAAGTTAGACAGTCTGATTGTTTATCTCAAGGATAAAAAAGTGGTAAAATAGAGGGATACAAAGAAGCAGAAATTGAAGCTGGGACCTAGCGAAGAGTATTTGACATTACTTTACTCTTCAGGTTGAATCTCATTCATGATTTCTCCTTTCCATAGGTTTCTGACTTTTTAACCATGAGTAAATATCTTCTTTTTAGGGACTTAGGACTATCCTAGGACCACAGCAGATTTGAAGTATTCTGATGGTTTGTCTGATGGTTCATTTTAACCAAATAAGTAGCTCTCTGGAAGATCGTTGTCTACCCTCTTGGTAGTACCAGGAGACTACAGTGAAATCACGCCTGGCCCTTGCAGTTTAGTTTTAGTTAATGTGTCCCCTTTCTGACTTCTCTGCTTCTTGGGGTGGGCGTACTGTTGGAGGAGGCTCTATAGGAGCAGCGTCTGCCTGCTTTGTTTCAGCGCCTTCTATTTTCACAGGCCGAGAAGCTGGAGCAAGAGTGCAGTGCTGCAAATGAGTGCTGCCGAGAGACATTCAGCCTTGTCACTTGGCAGAGTAGCTGGGTTCAGGGTATATTTGGAGGTGGAGGGTGGGGGAAGAGGGTATGTGGTTTTGCTCTACTGTTTATTCCTGCTCAAAGGAGGGTGGGGGCAAGTAAAAAAGACATGTGTTCATCATCGGATTACTTGATGGTGACTAGAATCGCAGGCTCTATACAGCATTTTCTTCCAAATGGGGATTTTGGAAACAGCATTGAGGGGGACTGATATGCAAAAGCTTATGGCTGTGCTCTCTGTCAGCCCCAAATATTTACTAAAGCTGGGAGAAGAAAAGGCAGACTTTCTTTTTTTCTCTCCCAAACGTGTGATTGTTTAGAACTCAAGTGCAACATCTGGAAGTCAGATATACAGAGAACAATTTATGGAGTGTGAAAGATTTGAAATATTCAGTGTCCTTTAGTGGGAACTCAACTTTCTGGGGCTTCTTTTTTTATTATTTTTTTTAACCCAGCACAAAGCAGGCAATTCTGAGATCTCCTTTTGCCTCTCTGAATTAAACCCTTTGTGCCTGGGTCCCATAAACAATGTGCTTTTTAAAGGGGAGCCCCCTCCCAGCTCCGGCCTTTTTCTCCAGCGTGGGCAGCCAATCAGCTGCGCAGAGCTGCATAGCTGGACCGCTTTCCATTCTGAGTAGCAACAACGTACTAATTTGATGCACACATGGATGCCTCGCGCACTCTGCAAATTCATCACCCGCATCTTGCATTAGTCATCTGACGGACTGCCAAGTGTTTCATTTTCTTTCCATGTGACTTTATTATTACCACCTCTCTCCTCTCTTCCAAAAACCTCCCAAAAAGGGTGGTGGGGCGGGGGGGGCGGGGCAGGGAGAGGGAGAGAAATCCAGCAGGCATCTAGCTCTGCCTTTCTTTCCCAGCCACAGCCAGGGTAGGGCTGATAACGCGCTGATGCGTTGATGGCAGCCTTGCAGAGCTAGACCTGCACTTAACTTGCAGCTGCCTCCCGAGCCTCCAAGATGTCCACGCCCTGGATGACAGGCGGCGGGGCGCTGCCCTGTGCTCCCGCAGCTCTGCTCGACAGCAGCACGCAGTGAGAGCCTCGCCGCCGCCGAGGAGCAACTCATGGTGCCTCTGCTTTGTTTTAGTTCATCAAATTTCTACGACTCATTAGGCGCTTTGCCCGTGCTCTTCTTCCTCCTCCTTCCGCCTGCCCGCCCCCGCACCCCCGCTTTTTTTTCTTCCTGTCCCTCATTGTGCCGCCCTAACTCTGGCTCCCGGTTCCGTTTTTGACAGTAACGGCACAGCCAACAAGATGAACGGAGCTTTGGATCACTCAGACCAACCAGACCCAGATGCCATTAAGATGTTTGTCGGACAGATCCCCCGGTCGTGGTCGGAAAAGGAGCTGAAAGAACTTTTTGAGCCTTATGGAGCCGTCTACCAGATCAACGTCCTGCGGGACCGGAGTCAGAACCCTCCGCAGAGTAAAGGTACAGAGCGCGGGGCGGGGGTGGCCAGGCGTCCAGGTGGGCGTCGCGGGGGCGCTGGGGCTGCCTGAGCCCCCAGCCTGCGGGAGGGAGGGACGGAGGCAGGGCGGGAGCGCAGAGGCTCGTCCAGGCGCGTGATCGCTCCCGGGAGGTCACTTTCTAGGCAGCATAGCCTCTGCTTGGGCGGGGTGGCTGCCTCTCCGAGGAATCGCGTTTCTGTGCCTTGTATTTCAGGACCTAACTCTTCCCACCGCTATGTTCCCATGATTGCCCATGTAATTACAATTGCATTTCACTTTTCCATAGCCGGTGGGGACCTCAAAGTACCTTTGTAAACGGTGTGATGCCACTGGTGCGAGGGAGAAAAGGCTCCCTTGAAGGAGGGACACGCATTCCTGGGGGCCAGGTGGGGATCATGAGGTGAATCTGCCTTTTGGAGCTGGGAGCAGCACCCTAGTGGCCTGACATACTTAGCACACTTTCACAGACGCTTGAGGGTTCCGCCCTTATCAGTGTTGAGATGAAGGTATAGGATCCGATAGTTGTTCCTGCCTCCATTTTAAAATGACAGCGATGGGGGGCAGTGGGAGCAGTTAATGAAATAGAGACCAGGACCCATTGTGAGGACTGATGCTTCTGTGCACTGGCGTCTTACTTTGGAAGCTCTCCACAGACTGAATTTAAATACCTACTCTGCTGCTACCACTTGATCTCTGTTGCTATTTTAACCTTCTTGCTTTAGCAATTTTTTTTTCATCCCCTGTTCTTGATCTCTCAGTCTCTCTGCACAGGAGTCCTCTGTTGTTTTGTGGGTCTCTCAGTTTCTTTTGCTCTGTGCCTTTGTGTTTCTGTCTGGCATGTTGTTTTATTTCTGTGTTGCTTCTCCTAAGGCCCCTGAAAGCATCACTTGGCTTGTTTATACACTTCAGTTGGGCACATGAACATTGGCACATACTTTTCTCTAAGCCTTTTCCTTAATGGCAAGGTGAAAGGATAGAACTAGGAAATCTTTAAGACTAACATTCTGTGACTATGAGAAATGTTGGACTGCCTCTTGTTCCTTGTAGTTGCCAAGGTCTGTAGGGCTTTTGGAAGCCTCTTAAGGAATTGAGCCCCTGGCCAGTACTCATTTTAGAAAGGTGAACAGGTGTGTCTTCAGAGTATGTTCATAACACTTGAGTTTTCCAAACCTTAAGCAAGTTTGTTTTAAAAAGTACATAGAATATTGTCACCACAAACTTGATTGCCACATTGTTTGAAATATAGAAAAATCATTTAACTGAAAATCTGTGGGTTTCTAAACTTCACAAATGAGAGCAGTAGTAAATACCTTTATTGAACATATTCTGATATTAGTTACCTACATGTTTTCCAAATGGAGAAGACTAGAGTTTGTTTTAATACTTTCATGGTATGCTGTTGAGCAAAATCAGTAGACTAGAGCTAAAAAAATTTAATAAATAATCACCAAATAAGGGCTCTCTCAACAGCCATAATGTCACTCAGGGAAAACTAGACCAGAGGCAGTAGACCAGGCTTAAGAGAAATAACCACAGTTCATCCTTGACAAGAAAAATGTGACTCCAAATGTTGGTTTATCAGATTTTTTTAAAATTACCTTTGACAAAATGATCAGAGCTCACTTATTGTTAGGATACCTGGTTTCATGACTTTCAGCCTTGAAATACATGTATCTTAACTTGGCTGAAAAGGCCCTTTTCCCAGTCAAATAAGTACCTGAGCGTGACCTAGTTATTCTCCCATTGTCTCTCTTGCCCCAGATGTTCCTCTCAGCAGCATTTTTTTACCAGCCTATATTAAGACTATGCATTTTGTTAACTTGTATTCACTATGTCTTACTACTAATTTGGTGGAAATAGTTTTCAGAAGCCCATGGTCTGCAGAAGCAGAAATTTTTTTGAGCACATACTACGTGTATCAGACCCTGTGTCAGGCATTTTACATCTGTTCTCATTTCGTCCTCACCTAAAACCAGAAGGTAGGTGGTATTAGTCATGTTTTACAGATGAGGAAACTGAGGATCATAGAAAGTTAAGAAACATAGTCCAGTTTGCCCAGCTGGTAACTGACAGATCAGAGATTTGGACATGGTCCATCTCTCTTCATGGACTACACCATTCTGCGTCTCCATGAGATGAGATTGCAGACTAGCCCTGGTGTGATATGTTTCAGGGTCTGGGTCAAGGGCAGTCTCCTTTACTGAAGTGTTCCCCAAGTGAAAGGAGGAAATTTTATTCTTTAAGAATGAGTTGATTTCATTTCGGTCTCTGTGTTTAGTTTTTATACTCAGGTTTAGATTGTACATCAGTCCTACCTCGTGATATCATGGAGTAGGAGTTAGAGATGAAATCATTCAAATCTTACCTTTGGAAATACAGGTCAATTCCCATTACTGTGAACTCCAAGTCTCACATCAAATATTGCTTAAAGTGTGTGGGCTGTCAGCCAAAGCTTGAAAGAGCTTTTGTTATACAGACATCTCTGTTGTGAAGGTATTTGTTGTGATGGGATTTGAGCTATATAATGACATTGCTCTCGGAGGATTACAGCCCTTAGCCGCTTACCTAGAGAGAGCCACAGCCCCCACTTTCTTCATGTTGATACCTATGCATCCCGTCATTATTTTGCCTGTGTACACTTAAAATAAGACCTCTTTGATTCAGACTTTGTCAGCAGAGTACAATTATCATATTTTCACAGGGCTTATGTCAGAGCCTCAGAAACTAGAATTACTGGAGGTGGTTTAGGTTATGTGAGTAAGGCTTTTGGAGGGGCTTGATTCATTGCCTTACCCATGTTGATGGTCCCAAGCAAAGAAACCGTCAGGCTATTACCTAATCCTGGTGAATTAGATTTTCTCCTCACTTTCCATTTTATGTTCTGTTTAGTCTTGAGGCATAAAAACTTGGTCATACTTGTGAAATCATCTTTTCCGGGTTTGAATCTGAGCTGCCTATCCTCTCCCTATAAGGGCATGTATTGACCAAGCAGGCTGAGGAACCTGGGGAGTCTGGCTCAGTAAACATGCTCCCCCATGGGATTTTGGAAAAGTGTGTTTTATTCAGGGGTCATCTGTTTCATTTGTAGATGGTGAGCAATACCATAGAGAATTGAGAGCATGGCTTTTGAAGTTGGAGAACCCTAAATTTAATTTCTTGCTCTACTGCTTCCTTAGTACGGGCCTTGGGCATGTTGCTTAATCACATCTGAAAGTGGTGGCAGTGCTTGTAGTGTTGCTGTGTGGTGAGGTTATGTGGTTTCCACAGAGCTGGGATACGGTAGGAGCTGGTTATGGCAATCGTGATGATCATACTTGTTGTTACCTTCATCAGTGCCTCCAAGAACATAAACTCTGATAGGAACAAGAAGGCAAGTTCACAGGCAACTCTCACACAAAAGAACATGAGCTAAGAGTAAATGAGTAAGAAAGAGATGAGCTTATTGGAACCATGGAAGTTGAGCAAAGAAATGAATAATTCACAGCTTTTGGGAGATGAAAAAGATGGCATCTTTACCAAATCTTGAAAACAATAATAGGATTTCAGCAAGTAATGATAATGAACATTACAAATGGTTGGAATGGCCTGCTTCAGGCATGCAGGTGAGGAAGTGCAGAGCAAGTTCTGAGAACTGAATTCTCCCACAGTTCAGGGGAAAGGTGAAATACATGACATTAAATAGAGGAAGAGAAGATCACAAAGCCTAGAGCTAGAGGCTAGAGCAGCTCTTAGCAGGCCTTCGTTCTCAGGCTGAAGTATTTAAAATGCCTTTGTTAGACTCTCAAGACTCTAGGAATAGAGTGTTTTAGCAGCAAGAGGCTTAGAGGCTGGTGCAGTGTGTTGACTTGTGTTGAGGTCAGGGTGTTGTCTGTCATGGGAATGGAAGGGGAGGCTGAGGGACAGGCATGACAGTGGAAGGAACAGGACTTAATAACTAATTTGGGGCAGTGATGACCAGGAGTTTTTGGCTTAACTGGGAGAATTGGGAGTGCAGTCAGCTGTGGTGGGAATGGAGAAGAGGAGTATTAAGTTCAGTTTTGATTGAGTTGAGTCTGAAGTGTCTCAGTAAAGTTAAGGATGCAGGCCAAGAAAAGTCATAGGATTTGGTGACTGGGAAGACCCAAGAGCACTTCAGAAGAAGCATGGGGTTGTGGGCAAAGGAAATGCATTGACATATGTGTGAGGCTGTCAGTGTAGACTCGCCTTCCTCGTAGTCTGGCATGAAGGGAGCAGAAACTTACGCATGCAGTTTGTTTGTTCAGCAAATTATAAGTTGTATGGCAAAGAAGATTGTGAAAGTGTGAGGCAGACATGACACTATCTCAGGCCTGTGAAAGGGTGGAAAGATACTTCATTTGAGACAGAGGGGCGTTCAGGAGGAAGTAACAACACAAAGTTTCAGAAGCAGGAGACAGTTCATACAGGTTCCTGCCCCCAGTCTTCTCAGTAAATAGGAAATTTCTGAGAAGTCTTACTGAATTGAAGACTTGAATGGAAAAGGTTTAAAATGACTCCTTTGGGAAATTTGATGGAGGGAGTAGAACTGTTGAAGATCAGGGAGTGGCCGGTCATATTTAGATCATGTTCATCTGGAGTGGGCCCTGATGGTTGTGGTTCTAGGACTGTCTGTCACTGGGTGAGCAGAGAAACGGAGTTATAGGGAACCCAAAGTTGTAGGTGATCAAGGCAGACATTGTAGAAGATCAGGAAGGGTAGTAGCTGTGTTAGAATATTCTCTCGGAGGTCTAAAGTAGGGAAGCCGGTAATGCTGAAAGACAGCTCCTAGTCTGGAAGGTGGAGGAGGAGTTGAAGGGTTAGCAGTTGAAGTTCAGTGGGAGAAGTTGGCAGATAGGAAAATTGTGTTCAAGCGAGACTATACTTGGAACCTAGAAACAGTGGATAAATTACCTTGGGTCATCACTCTCTTAATGTGTTAGATAATCAAAGTTACAATCCCAGATCACAGCACCCTGAGAAAGTGTG